AAGAAAGAGCAATCACGTGGGGGTTAGCCTTAAGTGCTGTTGCAGAAACCTCCGTCAAAAGCAAAGAAGCCTGCACTTTCATCCCTCAATCCCACAGAAATTTGTTTCTGCTTTTATAGTTCTCATTGAACCGAAAAGGAAAGCCACCAGACAAAAAATGAGCCAAATGCAAAGGAAAACAAAATCAGTCAGGGTTTAGAGACTGGAGGAGAACATTTCTTAACAGACGTCAGAATATTTTGATATTTATATCTGTGATTTTTTTTAAATAAGCAAAGCAGATCCTTTTAGGAAGTAGAGAGCTATCCTCAATTGTTGACCAGCTATTGGTAGAAGAAATCCATAGGTTCTGTCTAAGTATATAATCTCAACAGGAAAAAAATGCAACTAACTCTTAGGCAGAGACTATGATATACTATGAGGAATAGTAGAACTCGGGCTTTGGAGTCATTATTGGATTCACATGAGAGCTGTTTGGTATTTGGCAAGCTACTTAACCTCATTGAGCCTTAGTTTCTTCATCTGTGAATAATAACAGTGATAAAACTCGTGAGATTGAAAAGAGATTAGCAAACACTCTAGTTCGTGGTAGGTGCGTAACATATCAGTTCCCTTTTTCCACCACTGATGCCCATTGTGGTAGTTATTATTGAGGATCACCAAATCTTTCCATTCTTCTCTCAAACACACAGTGCAACTGAACTTTCTTCCTCCCTTGAAAATAGATATGGCCATCTGATTTGCTTCAGTCCATGAGATATTAGCAGCAGTGATGCATCACTTCCAAGCTGAAGCTTTAAAAGCAAGTTCAAGGTTTACCATGCATCTTTTCTCTCTGCAACAGCAAAAGGCAGTGTTCCAAATAGTGACCAGCTTGGGGTTAGGAGTGAGAATGATGCAGCAAAATTCACAAAGGACAGGTAGCACAAGTGAGAAACAAAAACCTTCGTTGTTTTAAGCCACTGTGATTTTTGAACTTTTTGTTACCATAGCATAACCTACATCCTCCAGATTGACACACCTTCCTTTAAGTAACTGTATTTGCCATCATCTTAATTCATTCCACAGATACATGTTGGCCAAATGCCAAGCACAGAGCTAGATGCTGAGAAACGCATGATTCTGGCTCTTTGCTCTCACGGGGCTCCTAGTAATGGTAGGAGAGTGAGGGTCATTATCAGGAGCCTTTTAAAAATATCCCCAGTTATTTTGTTTAACTAAAGTCAAGGTTGGGAGCTACTGCTTTTGTGCACATTGAATACTTCATATGTGTGCTGGTTGCCTGCCAATTTTAATAACAGAAGCTAGAGATTTTAATAAAAATCAGAAAAAAGTGGTATATGTGGAGAGAATGAAGAAAGACATGATTAAACTAACAAAAAAGTATGAGTACTGTACTTCATTGTGTCCCTGGGTTGCCCACAACTTTATGATTCAGCTATCTCTTTTTTTTTTTTTTTTTTTTTTTTTATGGAGTTTTTTTTTTTTTTCCCAGGCTGGACTGCAATGGTGCTGTCTTAGCTCGCTGCAACCCTTGCCTCCCGGGTTCAAGTGATTCTCTTCCCTCGGCCTCCCAAGTAGGTAGGATTACAGGTACCCACCATCATGCCCAGCTGTTTTTTTTGTGTGTGTGTATTTTTAGTAGAGATGGGGTTTCACCATGTTGGCCAGGTTGGTCTTGAACTCCTGACCTCAGGTGGTCCACCCACATAGGCCTCCCAAAATGCTGAAATTACAGGCGTGAGCCACTGCACCTGGCCCTCAGCTATCTCTTTTACCTTCCCCTCAGGGTAGTTTACTAGAATTTTTTTCCCTTGAGACTGAATGATAATCAAATCAAAAAAACAATAATCATTACAATGACTTCATAGCCACTTATTTATTTAAAAATTCTGGAAGTTATAAATTATAAAGCCAATGCAATGAATTTCTAATGTTGGAATTGTAGACAAAGTGGCCCCCTAAGGATATTATTTCATATGGGGCAAGTGAATATTCCTAGCCCTATTTTAAATCATGCCATCCTAGATAGCTATGTGAAAATGATATGGGTGCTTAGCAAAACTATTATTAACTAGTACCGCTTTGGCAGTTTTATATTAAAAATTCTTTATTAGCTTAGGTGTGACCCGGTGATTTTTAAAATTCATTACTGATTTTTGAAAGCCTCCTCTTCAGAGCAAAAAGAGCCCATTGTTCTTAACTGGTAATACCAATGACTGCTATAAACTACATGTTCAAACAAATCTTACAACTAATAGAAGTGTAAATATAATGCCAACTAATGTTTCTGCTTATACATGTATCTACAAATATAAAGAAATAGCTCCTTAGTAATTTCTAAAAAAAGACCCATTGATTAATCTACTTGAGTCTCTTAGCAAGTGCTACTGTTTAATACCTCACCATTTGATGGTAGTAAATTTTCTTCTTTATGACTAGACAATAAGGTCTGTGGATCTGGAAGACCTACAGGTGTTACACAATTCCTCTGCTTCCATGTTGTGTGATTTAGACAAATGACAGTCCCTGCTTTTCTCCATTACTAGCAGGATGGCAGTTGTAGCCTTCTCAACTGTTGTGGCAGTTAATTGCCAAATTCTGGGTCAACTGCCAAATCTTCAGTCCAATATGGATCTCATTGAAATGCTTTGGAACTGTGTGTCAAATAATTCTAGTCACTCGCACATGTATTTCTCTCTTCTCCATTACTGACAGATCCCTGATTTTCTAAAAGGTGACTGTGTGCCCAGTTAAAATATGGTTTATACTCCCTTACTATGTCTGACCCTGTGACCAAGTTGTGATCAGTGAAATAAATGTAAGTGAAGCTTTGACAGTGTCCTTTCCTAAATAAAAAGACAAAAGCCTAGCGAGGAGGCCTTCTACCTTTCACCCTTTACTCTTTCCCTTCTTCCTGCCTGGAACACAGATGTGATGCAAAAGGAAGAAACCATTTTGTAGCCATGAAGATAAAGCCATACAATAAGAAAGACATATCAAAGGATCTGGGTTCCCAGACAGCATCTTGGAGCAATTTTATAAACTTTGGGCAGTCTGCTTTCAGACTTCTTTTTACCATGAGAAAAATAAAATCTCGTTTGGTTTAATCACCAAGAATGAATTTTTATGCAACCAAGTGCAAACCCCAACCAATACAATCTATGGGCTCATCAGGTCTTCATCCGGATTTCATCCCCCTTCTCACCAAATCAAGACTCAGGGTCATCTCTGGGCTGTAGGGGGAGAACCTGAAACCATAAAAATTATAGAAGATAACATAAGAAAAACTTCTAGACATTAGCTTAAGCAAGGAATTCATGACTAAGACCCCAAAAGCAAATCCAATAAAAACAAAAATAAGTAAATGAGACCTAATTAAAAAGCTTCTGCACAGCAAGAGATAATCAGCAGAGTAAACAAACAACCCATAGAGTGGGAGAAAATCTTCACAATCTGTGCATCCGACCAAGGACGAATATTCAGAATCTACACGGAACTCTAACAAATTAGCAAGGAAACAGCAAATAATCCCATCAAAAAGTGAGCAAAGGACATGAATAGACAATTCTCTAAAGAAGATATACAAACAGCCAACAAACATGAAAAATGCTCAAAATCACTATCAGAGAAATGCAAATTAAAAACTTGAGATAATCTGTTCATAATCAACAATTCGTTCAGTTGTTTTTTAAAAATTATGAATTTATAGATAGAATGTTAGATGTGTTTTAAACAATTGTGATTATTATTATTTTGATGCTCAAATTAGCCCATCTATGGTCAGTGAGATCCTATTTGAATTGTTCCCTGAGTCTTCTTGACACAACCCTAATGGTAGTTGATAGTTTTATTGCTTTCTGAAAATATTTACAGCTAAAATGATATGATCCTCTGGGATTTGCTTCAAAATGATGACACAGGAAGAGGGGGTAGAGAGGAAATATGATTGGCCAAGAGTTCATAATTGTTCAAGTTGGTGATGGCCCCATGGAGATTGATTATACTATTTTCTTACATTTGTGTATGTTTGCAATTTTCTAAATTAAAAGTTAAAGATAAAATTCAATCAGGCACCTGTAGTCTGCAAGCCCTTGGGAGTCTGAGACTGGAGGATTGCTAGAGCCCAGGAATTCAAGACAAGCCTGGGCAACATAGCAAGATCCGGTCTCAAAAAGAGAAAGAAAAAGAAAGTCCAGTCTTGAATGCCTGGATTCGAAGGGGGGAAAAAAAGATTTCTAAGTTCCCAAGTCTTCCTTTGACTTAGGGATGAGTAGGCACAGAGGTCTCACTACAGAGCTGTACTCTAAATCAGAGGTTATGAGCTCTCAGGATATATACTCATTACCCCCATCATAAGGAGGGCATGAAGAAACCCTCTTGGATGGGGGAGAGAACAGAAGGATGGAGGTTAGGGAGAGAGGAAAATGTGCGAAAAGCTTCCAGAGCTTCACGAGGTGGGTACCTCTTGGCAGCTTTGCTGGTGGTTGCAGGGCAGGGTCACAGGGGTTCACTACCAATTTGTCTTACCACCGTCTTCCATTCTTTGGCCCAGCGCCTAGCCTCTAATCCCCAACAAGCCTGATTCTATTGCTTGTGGTCAAGGGGATCTTGCTTTCCAGACAGGACAGGAAGGAGCACTGGGCTGGAAGTCCTGAGGCCAGAAGCCGAAGCCTGTCAGTGATGCAAAATGGCACTGGGTCTTGGTCTCACTTTCATCACCCATGAAATGAAAGGTCAGCTTGCAAGACTAAAGCTCCTGCAGTGTCCCAGGCATCCAAATCCAACACTCAAGAAGCCCTGGACTCCAACAGCCTGTCCTGCAGGCCTCCGTGCCTTTTCACTGAACGTCTTTTCCACCATTACATATTACATCGCCGCCTACAGAAAAACGCGGCTGTTACCACTTTTTGCAGATAATTAGAGAGGCGGTGCTCAGCTTAAGATGACCCCAAAGTTGACAGCACTTTCAGGCTTGGGGAATTAGGCGCGTCACCGACCTGTACGATTTCTCCTCTCTGCCCTTGCTCGCCTGCAAATCCTGACCCCCGTCCACACTGCGGAGAAATCTCCTAAGAGACGGCTGCCAGCGTCGCCTCTGCGCCCAGGAGGCGTGGAGCAGAGGACTCGGGAGCTGAGCGCGCTGCGGCCCCGCTCCCCGCGCACAGCCCAGAGGGAGGGGCCGGCGGGGGCCGGGCAGCGCCAGACTCTGAGCGCCGGGCTCGCAGCGGCTCAGTCTCCTCCCGAGCCCAGCCCCGGCTGGCGAGAGCGGCGGCCAGCGCAAGCCGGAGCCCGGGCCTCGGAGCGGGGAGGCGGAGGGCCGGAGAGGGCGGCGGACTGCAGCGGCGGGCCGCGCTCGGGGTCCCGCCGTGTGCGGGTCCTCCCAGCTTATCCTGGTAAGTGCGGGTGGCTGCGCCCAGCCCGCCGCGGTAGTCGCGGTGGTCGTCTTCCCCGGATCCGGGTTGCGCGCATCCAGTTGCTGCGCTGCCGGCTCACAGGTGGCTCTGCCGGGGACGTGGGCGCCCCAGGCCCCGCTAGGAGTTAGCCAACTCTCTCTGCTCTGGGACGCGGATTTGGACCCCCCGCCACTGCTACCCTTGCTTCTGGCTTGGGATGGGGGGCGCTGGGTAGGGCCTGCCGTCGGGGGAGACGCGCAGAGGGACGCTTCTCTTCCCCAACCACCTACAAACTACCCAGGGGGAAGCGGGCCAAGCGCCTCACCGAATGCAACCCAGCTCTAACCTCACAGGTGGGGCGTCTATTCGTTAGGTTTATTTTCCTATCAATCCACCAGGGAAAGTTTGGGACCACGCAAGGCAAAGTTGGGGCGCGGCTGGGGGCGAACTTATCCTACGGAGGCAGCTCTTGAGGAGACTAGAGGTGGGTTTGCAGGGGGAGCGAGGACCGGGGTGGAGGTGACTTTGTGCCCCGGGAGTTGAGTCTGTCCCTGCCGGTCGCCCGGGCCGAGCATTTTGACAGTCCCCAGAGTGCTGTGAATCGCTTAATCGTCCCTGCTAAGCGTTGACGTTCGCAGCCAGCCGCGAATCTCCGTGATGGGTTCGGGTTATCTTAAGAGTAGCAGCAACTCAGCTTGGGTTAATTTGTGCTCTTGCTTTGCTCAGAAAACCTGAGCTCCAGCTAATCTCAGTGTTTAAGTGGCGTGTGTTTAATTAGCTTATTTTACACCTGAGATTATCTCAGCGCCTGCCTCCAAAATGAAATCGTTGATATGGAAAAGAATAATCTTTTTAAAGAAAAATTAAAAAGAAGACTTCAGAATATCAGCTGTTGTGTCTGGCTATTTTACCTATCTCCTCCATGGGATAGAGAATGAAAACTCTGCTTTGGATATATAACCTATTAAAGTCAGTGTTGGGGCTATTCTGGGCAGATTTTGGGGACAGAGGTATTGCTACAACTTGCGTATTTATGAGATACACATGTGGTCTCTCGAAATAGCCTGCTTGTTATTTCACTGCATTGGGAATTGTTTGACTTACTAAGCTGCCTATTTTAAATATGACTAAAGGTTGTTTTTTTAAAAGAAGCTTTAGTTAAAAACAATGTCTAGAT